AAATCAAAACGACCCTGAGATTTCACCTTACACCCAAAAGATGGAAAACTGAAGTGACAACACATGCTGGAGAGGATGTAGAGAAAGTGAAACCCTCCCCCATTGATGGTGGGAATGTAAACTTGTACAACCACTTTGGAAATCACTCTAGCGCTTTCTCAGACAATTAGGAATAGTGCTTCCTCAAGATCTGAAAGGGTTAGACTAACTTTGTAACCCATATGTCTTCTAAAGCCTATAGTTTTGAGTTTTAGGTCCAGGTTAAGCCAAAGCCTCTTAGTACCTTTCCAGAGAATGGAGAAATGTGACCCTATCTGTGAGGACAGATATAAAAAAAGGCAAGCAAGCAATGACCTTCACTCAGCAAAAAGAATGACCAGACCCTTGTCTTCAAGATAGTGTTTCTTAGCAACGAACCCAGATGGCCTCAATCCTTCTTCTGAGTAGCTCCTGACCTGCAGCTCCAATCTCAAGGATGAGCTAACCACCCTACCTTCAATTACAGCTGCATCCACACTTGGCAGGACTGGCCAAGCTTGAGCACCTAAGACTAACCAATTATCTTACTTTATAGCCTCCTCATCCAATCCTAAATTGCCAAAACCGGAACTTCAAATTTCCCACAATTTTTCTTTTAAAAACCTAAAGTCTTTGTCTCCTGGGGCCATTCTTTGCTGACCGGCAGGGGTGACCCCATTGCGCAATGGTTAAATTAAACCTCTTGCTTTTGCAATGAGTTGCATGGTCTGTGAGAGTTTCTGGGAAGGGCACGATCTTAAACTCCTGAGCTGTGAGACCCCAGGTCTTACAGATCCAACTATACCTCTCCTAGGCATATATCCAAAAGATGCTCAAGTACACAACAAGGACCTTTGCTCAACCGTATTTGTCACAGCTTTATTCGTAATAGCCAGAATCTGGAAATAATCCAGATGACCCTTAATGGAGGAATGGATACAGAAATTGTGGTACATATACAAAATGGAATTCTACTCAGCAATTAAAAACAAGGAAATCATGAAATTTGCAGGCAAATGGTGGGAACTAGAAAAGTTCATCCTGGGTGAGCTATTCCAGAAGCAGAAAGACACACAGGGTATATACTCACTTATAGGTGGATATTAGACTTATAATAATGGATAAACATACTAAAAATCTGTACACCTAAAGAAGCTAAGTAAGAAGGAGGACCCTGGGTAAGATGGTCAATCCTCACTCAGAAACGCAAATGTTATGGACATTGGAAGAGGGAGAAAACAGGAGACAGGACAGGAGCCTACCACAGAGGGCCTCTGAAAGACTCTACACAGCAGGATAGCAAAGCAGATGCTGAGACTCATAGCCAATCTTTCGGCAGAGCACAGGGAATCTTATGAAAGAAGGAGGAGATAGAAAGACCCAGAGGGGGCAGGAGCTCCACAAGGAGATCAACAGAACCAAAAAATCTGGGCCCAGGGGTCTTTTCTGAGACTGATACTCCAACCAAGGACCACGCATGGAGATAACCTAGAACTCCTGCACAGTTGTAGCCCATGGCAGCTCAGTGTCTAAGTGGGTTTCCTAGTAAGGGAACAGGGACTGTCTCTGACATGAACTCAGTGGCTCTTTGATCACCTCCCCTGATGGTGGAGCAGCCTTACCAGGCCACAGAGAAAGACAACCCTACCAGTCCTGATGAGACATGATAGGCTATGGTCAGATAAAAGGGGAGGAGGACCTCCCCATCAGTGGACTTGGAGAGGGGCATGGGAGGAGATAAGGGAGGGCAGGTGGGGTTGGGAGGGAATGAGGGTGGAAGCTACAGCTGGGATACAAAGTGAATAAACTGTAATTAATACCAAAATAAAAATATATTAAAAATAAAAAAATTAAATTCTACAACCCTGCACAGTGGGAAGTAGCATAAAGAAATCTGCCCCCTGTTCCTCTAATGTTTCACTCCTATCCCAGGTTGAGGGATTGGAAGGGAGGCAGACAGTAGGTTTGTTAATAAAACTGAAGTCAACAGATATCATTTAAATATAGTTAATGCCAGTTATTCTGGGAATAGAGCCTGGATATGTATATTTCTAATAACACACACACACACACACACACATACACACACGCACGAATGTTGCACCAAATAATCTTGAGAAAACAATAGCCTGAAAACATCATTTTAATCCCCAAAATAAATATTCAAAATATTACAAAATCAGTCCTCTATTTTATAATGACTCTTTTTTTTGCCTTGGAGAAAAACAGTGCAAAAAGGGTAAATAATTCATGATTAACATTAAAGTTTCATGTTATCACTGCAATGTCTTCTTGAGCTTTTGAGATAGATGCTTATCTTCTGTTTTCCTCATCTCTTCATCACTAAGGTTCATTGATGTTTGTCTGTCCACATGTCTCCACTGTAGTACACATGGGTGGGCAGACACTTCTCTACACACAGACACCCTTAGCCTCGGTCCTGTTCATTTTAAGACTTCTCTACTGATTCTGTGAAAGTTGATCTCTGGGGTACCACTGAAATATGCTCTGTGATTCAGTAGGTTTGATGAGGAAGCCTGATGATACACATTTCTAGTAGGTTTTCAGTTGGTACTGAGGCTGCTGGTCCATGGACCACACTTGGGAACCAGATTCCCATGCTGTCCCTCAACCACTGAACTTCTGTAGCTTCTCTTTTAAACAAATCCCTCTCTTCAGGATCAACAGGTCATTTTGTTCAAGGAATCTGCCAACCTGGGATTTAGGCCTTTTTTCCTGGGTCACACCTTGGTATCAAATCTTATAATTCTCTCTTCCGAAAGCCTCCAATACTACTCCCTGTACTATATACCTGTTCCAATTCTGTCCCCTGGTGCACCTAACGACAGACAAAGGTCAACTGTTTATAGACATTCGGACATTTGGGTACAGAGAGAGATATAGGAAAGGGATCAATAGGCATTCCTGTTCCTTCCTGCTCCAGCAGGCAATGTTGGGTGTGTTGTCTTTGTATCCATTTGTGTAGATGCCAGGGGAAATTCTCTCCTGTAGGGGTTTTTATTCCTAACCTTAAGGCGTGCAAGCCGTGGATGCTTCTAAGGATGACCAACATCAGAAGCAGCCATTACGCATAAAGAGCTATGTATAGGGTGAATGAATACTTTCCACCATATGCACACTCTCCTGTACAACGTAGGCTCCATGTGTGAACACTGCAGTCCCACTGTTGTTTAAGCTGTTATTAATATTTACTATGGTTTATCTTCTAATAAAGCTGCTGTTAGTCATCAGCAGCTGTATGACCAAATCACCACATAGAGACTGGGTTTTTAGTGAACCTAGAACACAATGCTGGGCAATATTTACTCCCTCCTAAACCTCCAAGCCCTCAGTTTCCTAACATTTAGATTTCCCACATTATACTTGTTTTTTGTGAAATCTTAGGTCTGGTTCATGCTCCACATCCTCCAAGATCTCTCCTCCAGCTCTGCTCTCCTAGTTCTCCTCTCCCCCTTCTCCTCCTACTCCTTCTTCTCTTACTCCTCCTCCTCCTCCCACCCCTCTCCCACCTTCTGGCTCCTCCCCTCTTTCCTGTCCTCTGGCTCCACCCTGCTCAACATTGTGTCCAGTTGCTTTATTTTGTACCTGTTTACACAAGAGTTGAGACAGGATGCTTAGAATGAGTATCACAAAGCAATATCCGGATTGAAACCAGAGAGTTGGGGGTGGGGTGAGGGAGAAATCAGCATTTGAATGAACAAGGGTAAGGTGTATACATTAGAAAAAAAAAACAAACCACATTATACCAACACACTGTTTTCAGCTGAAAGCCCATCTTAACTTCCTTGTGAGTTCCAGTGAATGAGTTCATTTCTTACATTTCATTTTTTAATCTTTCAAGTGAGAATAAAATAAAATTGCATCTCTTCTCTCTTTCACCCCATATTTATCCCTGAGGTTAATTCTCCCTTCAGCTCAGCTCCTCCTTTTTTAGTTATGATGGTTACCTGTGTCTAATCAGGAAGAAGCTTCCCGTTAGAGTCTCTGGTCCTTTGTAATTGGTGTTTTTTTCTTTTGACTGACAGTTTATTAGTCCTCTGCCTTTCCAGAAAGGAATATGTTCCCTTTGCTCTTTGTATGTCTCTTCCATCTGGCATAGAGACTGGTGCTGATAGAAGTGTAATTAGCAAAACAATGTGTGATCATTCTCACAATCAAAATTAATATCAAAGGCTGGCACCGAGTAGGTGACTAAGAAACACTGCTGAGTTTTTTTCTTTTTAGTGCAAATCACACTGTAAACAGAGGTTTTATTTTGTTTCTGCAGGAATCACGGCAGAGAATGGAGTGGATTTGGACCTTTAACTTGGACTGTCCAAGTTAAAAAAAAATGCGGCTGTGATAAGAAACTGGCCTGAATAACTGGAAGAAAAATACACTTTGGTAGAGACTGAAGGAATAAAATAAGCACAGTTAAAGACAAAGCTTAGTACACACACAGTTGTGTTTGTCAGCTGTGTCCATCCCACCCACATCACTCAAGCTGCCAATGGCCGTCTTCTATAAAGTGAGTTAAAAGCGATTCCCTGCCACGTTCACCCAAAGCCCTCCCCCTTCCTTTTCACAATTCAGGAATTATTTTAACGGTGCCTTTCCTATCAGCCAGATCAAATATCCTCATGTTAACTATTTCTGGGGCCTGTACTTGAAGAAAGACATGATTTTTCTCAAATCTGTGAACAGGACACTTTTTTAAAAATGTCAAAATAAACCATCTGCTTGTGCAACTGTTTCTAATTACTTCCCTGCCTAGACTCTCCACTGGAGGAGTTTGGCACCCGCACCGCCCAGAGTGGCTCCACTGCCCAAGTCTTCGCAGCCTCCAGGAGGAGCCCGGAACCTCTGAGCACGGGTGCCCTGAGTCCTTCTGCGTGGACATCTGCTGGTGACACCCATTCCTCCTGCTCCTCCCTTGGAGCAGTGCAGCTGGCCTGCCTGCCCTCCTGCCTGCAGAGCTCAGCATGCATCCACCAGGCTTCAGGAACTTCTTGTTGCTGGCATCTTCCCTTTTCCTTGTTGGGCTGTCAGCTGCTTCTCAAAGCTTCTCTCCATCTCTGAGGTAAATTTGGTTTATTATTCTTTGAGACACACCTGCCCTGCTGTGCGTGTCAGGACTCAAGCTTGCAGATGCTTGACTGTCCTAAGCCAAGAGCAGTTACTAAGTGGGACATGACATAAACTGTTTTCAACCTGTTCTGACTTTTCTTCCCTTATATCTAACTTCGGTGTTGCTTCATATTTGTTTGTTTCCTTTTTATTTGGAAAATATTTATTTATTTATTTATTTATTCAAGGAGTAAAATATCATTTCTTCCTCTGAAAATATGTGTTAGGGATTTTTTTCTTTAAGTCAAAGATGTACTTCTGCATACCTGTCACTCCACAGCCTGTAGAGCAGCTGTTTCCACTTTCTAATGCAGCGCTTGCTTGATGGCCCTGACACATTTTGTATTGAAATTTGAAAGAGACGGGTTCCATTTTAACTTTTAAAAAGTAGAGTTCATAAGGTCTGCTTCAAGCGCAATTTAAAAGCATTACTTCCTAATGCTTAAACTTAAGCATTAAACTTTTCCTATGCGTTCATCTCTTCTCTCTAGCTATCAGATAGCTAGAGAGACATAATATAACGGGACATTTTTAAAAAACGAACAAAAGCCAGCCAAGTATCATACTTCAGACTAATTTGCATTTAATCAAAATGTGCATTTAAGATTCAGTGGCAATTTGCCAGGGAGCAAGGGGTCAGCCATCTCCTCTGTCTACTTGGAAGGTGCTATTTTTAGTCATGGTTACAATCAGCCCTTCAGAGGGAAGCTTGGCCCACAGAGAAATGAGGCTTAGGCCTCTCCATGCGGTGGAGAGGAAGAGCAGGCTTGGAGTAGAAGGGGCAGGGTGGGTGTCTGACCTTGGCCTGGCTATGGCCTTTCTTATCTCCTGCAGAAGCCTGTCGGGCGCCCCCTGCAGACTGTCCCGGGCTGAGTCCGAGCGTAGATGTCGTGCACCTGGGCAGCCCTCAGGGGGCGCCCTGTGCCATGGCCGTGGCCAGTGCGACTGCGGTGTCTGCATCTGTCAAGTGACCGAACCTGGCACCTACTTTGGGCCGCTGTGTGAGTGCCAAGAGTGGGTGTGCGAGACCTACGACGGGAAAACCTGCGCAGGTAAGGCAGAGGCGCTGCCCCCTCCGGAGTCACCTGCCTCCAGATAGGCCCTGACTTAAGTTATTGCAATCGGAGAGGGCCATGCGTCTATGCAATTTCGGCATCTTTTATTACGATATTTCTCCTCTGAGGCCCTCACTTAAGCGAAAATTAATATATATATAATAAATAGTATTTCATTTACTATTATTGGAAAATATATAAAGTACGTTTCCCTTGAACACTTGAAAGCATATATTTTAACTATATTAACTTCAAAGCTTCATTATTAGGAATAAGTCCCTGGAAGGAAAGTAATGTTTTATTTACTATTTCACTCCAAACTCAACTATCACCCAGTCTTTTGCTTTATTCTTTCTGGCAAGGCCTTCACAATGGTGTGAGTTTTCAAAAAATTTTCCAGGCCTTTTAGTGTTCCTGTTTGATTAGAAAATAAAGTGGTGAGATCTGGCCTTTAGCAATGATGAGTAAATGCCATCTCATGTGCTTTCCTGCTAACGGCCCTGGCTGGTGCCTGGCTGTGATTACGGCTTTGTGATGCTATGGGCTCTGGAGCTTTTCCTCCTTCCTTGGAGAAACTGGTTGTTTACTTATGTCATCTTAGTCACTGAATTCTTTCCTTCTTGATACTAAGGACCAAATCACATGGCTTTTGTGCCTTTGCATACAGGGCCAAATACTTGCTTGTTTACAGCTGAGGAAATGCTTGTGCCCATTTGACATTCTTGCTCTGCAGAGGACACTGAGATTTCCCTTTAGGGTACTCGATGGTATCTGCCTGACACCACTGTGAGCACATTTGCTAGGCCCAGAAAGAGTCTCCACAGGGAGCCCAGAGCTGCCGTGCCAGCTCATCTGCCTGTTCTGTGCTTCAGATTTAGCTTCTCTCTCCTCTTTTCAGTTTCACAACTAGTATGAAAATATGACAAAATGATTTTTGTCTGCTCTTTTTTGTTTGTTTTCTGAATTCATCTGACATTTACCTTGGTGAACCCCTGTAAGTCCTTTGTAAAATACAGTAATTGCCAGAGACTTCCTTTCAGTTATGGAGAAACAAGTCCTGTCCTTGTGCATCACAGTCTGGTTAGAGTGTTGAATCTGTCAGAAAATTTCAGACTTCAAATCCTCGTCCATTTGAGCTCAGATGTTATTTGAAGATCCAAGCCTTTGTTTCCTCATCTGAAAAAATAGAAGCCTTTTAAAAACTATTTAGTTTATTTTATGTGTATGAGTGTTTTGGCTGCTTCTTGCAGAGCTCAGAGGCAGGTGTCCAGTCCCTGGAACTGGAGGCGCAGGTGGTTGTGAGTCACCATGTGGATGAGAGTAACAATTGCTTTTAACCACGGAGCCAGCTCTGGAGCCCTGCAAAATGGGCATTTCAACAGCAACAACCTTATAGGGTTGGTGTGAGGTTTCATCTGTATACAACATTTCATGTGGTGTGTGGCATGAAGTGAGTGTTCAGTGCATACCGATGTGCTGATGTGCAGAGCAGTAAGTTCTACGTGGACAGAGATGGATGGGTGGACAGATAGATAAATAGGTATCTGACCGATGGTTGCTGGGAATGTGTGGCTGAGATCAATTTTACTTTCTTCATGTAGTCAGCCTGTTACTGATTTGAGGCTCACAAGGTCAAGCAAGGATAGCAATTTTGGCCTCAAAACATGTGCAGTATGCACACTCTGCCCTTTTAAAGTGTAGTCAGCTAGGATTCCTACACTGTGAGTCATAAGAACTACTTATTTTAGTTTGAGCCAGTCGAAATGTCCACACTACCACAAGTATGTTTCTTTCAGTGGTATTGTGTTCGTGGTACCTGAATCTATTTCTCACTTCTGTAGCATCCAGATTTGGCCAGTGACTGGTCCTACAGGTATGATGGTCTATTGTGGAATAAACTGATTTTTGTAAATTGTATCTGTAAGATAAGCGGCATTTTTCTTTGCATGAAAACAAACTTTAGCTTGGTATTTCTAAAGGAACCCTGGATAAATCCCACGAAGAGTAATGACTTAAAATAAAACACTGGCTTCCTAAAAATTGTTTAGAGTTGCTTTTGAAATGTGTCACTTAAAATTGATCCGTGGTTCTTTCATGGGTACAGACCCCTCACATAAACACAATACGAATAAAACAGGTGCTTCAGAGGTGACTCATGGTTAATAGCACTTGCTGCTCTTAGAGAAGACCCAAGTTCAGCTCTCAGTTCCCATGTCAAATAGCTCCAGAACCTTGAAGCTTCTCTTCCCTGGGGATCAGGCACCTTCGGCATCTTTAAAAAAGTGTTAGTAATTGGGAACACTACTGAATGTGATTCAGGCAAGACAAAGTACTGTGCGCCTGTCAGGCGCTTCCTTCTGAGGTGGCTGGGAAGCTGGGCTATGTGCTGACTTACCGTTGCGTAGGGAGGTTACCAGAACTACCAAATAGCTATAATACATGGTAGGGTATGATCTAGTGAGGGGTCCATTGATCCAGGTACTAAACACTGTGACTAAAACTGTTAAAGACAGAAAGCAAATGATGCAAAACACTAAGGGTAGGGAATTGTTAGAAGAAAAAAAAGACTTGGAATTTCAAATGAGGAAGAACTCAAGTACCAACTGAGGTTTGGGAAGGTGTTTGGGATGCACTAGGAATAATATAGGGAACACAGGGTTGGCTTGGCTGGACCTTAGCGCCATAGGCAAAGTAGCAGGGGACCGTTGAAAGAAGTTAGAGTTGGAGAAGTTAAATAGAACAATAAACCTTAACACAGTTTGTGTCTCTTAAACAACAGCTAGGATAACTGCGTTCTGGAACACAGGAATGACAGGTTGTGCTCTGGTTGGGGAGATGACATGGTGCAAGGGCAAGGTGTGGGAGAGAGATTCCATGGACAAGAATCTAGTTCAAATGCTGTGCACATTTGTATCCCAAGGGAGAGAGAACAGGACAGAATTGGGATGATTTTTAAAAGCTATTTAAAAGCATTGTTCTTGTGGTTTGGCACTCAAGAATTAGGTAATGAATGAAAACTGAAGGAGGTCTGAGTGAACGGGAAAGTGATAGAAAATGTGGGATAAGGAAGTCGCTTAACCAGTGGTTTACATCCTTATTATAATACACTGTTTTATGTAGAAATGCCATGAAATGCAGAACTATTGCTTGAAGAATGCAACTTTACACTTAATTAGCCAAGGATCCTGGGAGTGAATGGGAATCTTGTCTGAACTATTGACGGGTTTGAACTGCTAACTATGAGCCAGTTATTAAATTCCTCCGAATTCAGTATTTTTAGAGGCAACACTACTCTTGTGGTTATGAGAAAACTTGTATCAAGTATGCTATTCCTAATAATTTCCGTGTTTACATACAAATATATTTGAATTATATAATTATGCATTTATTCAGACTATTTAACATTCTTATCTATATTAGTTTTATGCACAAACACAAAAATATAAATAATGGAAATAACATTAGATATCCTTGGCATATGAAATTTTTTTGCAGTTATTTCTGACTTTTACACATAGTAGTTAAATTAACTACCATAAGGTGATTTGTCTTTGTACGAAGATTATACTTTCTGGAATTTCATAATCTGAGGGCTATTTGGCCTGCTTTTCTGCTCCATAGTTATGTTTTCTATTAGACCATAGAGTCATTTCATTCCAAGTCTATTTTTGTGGATTCAGTCTTTGGATTTTCCTCCTTTGGTCATTTTCTGTTTTCCATTTCCTTCTTTAAGCCTTACCCAGTGGTCTTTGCTCTCTAGTTTGTCTTGGTCTAGCCCTGCTGTGCTTAGCCTCCTCCTCCTTCTATGTCTTCAAGTCAAAGGGATGGAGAACCTGCGATCACTGACAGGCTTTAATCTCCGTCCCCACTGAGTACCACACTGGCTAGACTCTAGTCTGTATATTGTTTCCTTCTATGCTTTTCCTTCATGGTCTTGGCATTACTTGTAATTTTGGATTGGGTTCACCAGTACTAGCTTCCTCACTTTACATGAGCTTTTGGGGTACTTTGCTCTAATAGATATCTGTTTTTAGCAGATACATCTTGTATTATCTCAAGTAATATATAAAAGTTAAAGTTTTTCTCTTATATAAATGACCACTCATAATTTTTCTCAGTTTATGGATGAGGTAGATACAACTCTGAAGACCTGCCCTGGAGACCCCAACACCTTGGCTGTGCACATTACTTGCTCTTGAAAATTTAGATCATGTTTATAATCTTAGGTTATCTAAATCAAATCAAATAAATATGACAGAGCTGATGTTATTTTTTTACATAATCTTCTCTAAAATAAGAAAAGAAAATTTCACTTATATGGCACATCTTAAATTTGCAAAGAATATACTTTCTTCACAGATTTATAAATGTCTTCAATGTATTCTGAGGTGTAAAGGTAGATCAAACCCCTTGTGCCTTTGTGTTGTAATCTCACACCATCCCCAAACTACTCTGTTCTTTTGTTGTCAGTCACACACTGTCTCATCTGATCTTGTGAGCCACAACATTCACCATCTTGAGGTGAGTACACAGTACTGACCCAGTGACCAAGGAACTCTTGGCCCCTTCTTCAGCACCATGTCTGTCTACACACCAGTATGTTTCCTGCCCTGACAACAATAGACTAAGCCTCCGAAACAGTAAGCCAGCCCCACTTGTATGTTTTCCTTGTAAGACTGGCCTTGGTCATGTTGTCCCTTAACAGGTATAAAAGCCTACATATGACAATGTTCCAATGCCTCTGTTGGAAGGCTGGTTACAGGAGATGGCTGGTTTCAGGCTCCATATCCCCCATCGCTAAGAGTCCTAGCTAGGGTCACCCTCATAGATTCCTGCCAGTTTCCAGTGCACGAGTTTTCTTGCTCATCCCAGAGGTGCACCCACATTATAGCTGTCTCCCAGTTCTCTCTCCCTCTGTACTGCTCACACCTGATCTGTCTGTTCCCCTTCATATCCCCACCGCTGTCTAGTTCCCTCCCACTGTTTACCCATGTGGC